CTAAGACCAAAACGCAAGAAACCGACGTTCAAAAGTTGTGTCATAGTTTTATATAATAAAGCTATACGAAGATCGCATTTGTTAGATGAAGAATAGTTTAATAGCTACTCGTTCATAAAAGCATAATACCATAATAATTGTATATCCGATGAGTTTTATAACCATACTAAACATAATATGCCTGTAACGACGTTCTTCAGGCGTCGCAGCGTTATGACAACTGTCACCCCAAAAGACGGACTGTAGCTAACAGTCAGGGCGCGGGATCATGACTTCCCGTATAGATCTATACACATTTGACACGTTCTCCGAACGGGAGACTCTGGTTATAGACAGGACTTGCAGCATTACTTTCTAATAAAGAAAAGTAACGTTTGAAGATATACACGTCTCATGGATTCTCAACTAAGCCGTATTAAAGTGATAGTTTTTATGCAAAGTTTATCCTTTTTCACAATGTTTGACAAAGCAAAATCATAAGTTTTTAGAATGTATAAAACGACTTAACAATGAAAGGTACTTTGAAATCATTATATACTTTGTATAAGTCTAATGCACACAAAGTATGACAAGAGTTTTCCATAATAGTAATGAGTTCCAAGTGATTTATTCGATAAAACAAGTGAAGTGAAACTTTATAAAATACACGATAATAACCGTATGTTTACTTGTATTCCCCCCCTAAAAGAGTATAAAAGCATTTAAAATGTATTTAAAGTGTGTTTGAAAGGGGTATGAACTCACTTGAAAGTTTGAAGATAGCAAGATGGAAAACCGGGCAGAGTTTCGTCTCGGGAAATGGATTTTCCTCGGAAATCTCGGGATTCCTCGGGAGTAAAATCGACCTTCGGGACTTGCACAAAATGACCAGGGCTTCGGGGTAGTGCGAGCACGGAAAACGAGGTAAAACGCAAGAAAAAGGAGAGAGAATGGGCCATTTTCCCGGGAACCCTCGCATGCTATTTATAGGGGGCCTGAGAAGCCTTGTACGCGGGGCGTACGCTTGTACGCAGCGTGTACGCGTACGTCATGCGTGACCGAAGCCTCGACTGCCTCGGCCTCGGATGGGACGGCTCTGTCGGGTCGGATGGGACGGCGGGTCGGACGGGCGGGTCGAATGCCTCGCATAGGGCGACGTGGACGGTTTGAGGCCAAACTCCTCGGGTACGCAGGGCGTACAGGGGTACGCAGCGCGTACCTCGGATGAGGACGCTGACTCCTCTTCGGATAATACCGAAGTTTTAATAAAAGTTATATATAAATTATTTATCAAACTTCGAAAATTCATATCTCCTTCATACGAACTCCGTTTTTGACGTTCTTTATATCCCCGCGAAGGTGAGACTACGATCTACAACTTTCACTCAGATTCCGTTGGCAAATTCCGGAATTATTTTTATTATTTATTTATTAAAATGACGTGATTAAGGAATTTCTTTAAAAATTCATAACTTATTCATACGATGTCCGATTTGAGCGTTCTTTTTATGCATGTTTGTAGTTTAACGATATCTACGACTTTCATTTAGACTTCTAAGGTCAGAAAGTGTTTTATTGAAACTTTGCGTTTTTACGCAACTTTGTATTGCCGGTTTTTGTCGGAAAACTTAGAATGATCATAACTTCTTCGTTATAACTCGGATTTTTGTGTTATTTATATGTTTGGAAACCTTAAGACGATAACTACCACATAGTGTACTCCAAATAGAGTTTTTGAATACTTCATTTTTCGATGATATTCTAATTCCTTTCTCAAAGAGGTTACAGGACTCGATTTTTACTGACTTGAAATAACGGGTTGTTACAGCCCAATAGCATGTAAAGTCATTGAGGGTTCATTAAGCATGTAATTGGGTCACCAAAAGCCCAATCAACATGTATTATTATTGTTGGGCCCAATAATTATGTTAATGGGTCGCAAAGGCCATTAAGCATAATTTACAAATATTAAGCCCATTAAATTTAGTGTTTACCCGTTTTGTATAGTATAAAAATCAGAAGTTTTGTTTAAACGAATTGTTCAATCGTAAAATCCCAAAAATAATTGTTTGGTCAATTCAGTCCCTTTTCTAATAAAAATAACAATTTTAGTCCCTTTTTATGAAAAATGACATTTTAGACCCTTAGATAATTTTTCTTGACATTTTCGCCCCAAACACTTAACCAAATAGTATTTTCAGACCAAAATAAGGTTTTGGACGGTTTTAGCCCTTTAATTAAAAGGATTTACAATGTAGTCCATATTTTCGAAATTTTTACAATTTAAATCTAAAAATCCAAACTTTACATTTTTAGTCCTTTCGTGTAAAAATTACATTTTCAGCCCCTGAAACTTGTTATTTATGTTTTTAAAACTCATATTTTGATAAATATACAATTTTAATCCTTAAAATCATGTTTTTCGCATTTATGGGCCTAAAAACCAAAAAGCCCAAATTTTAGCCCATTAAGCTAAAATTTACATTTTCAGTCCTTTAAAAGTCATGATTTTTATAAAAACTCATATTTTAACCAATTTGACCTTTTTAACCTTTATAAAACAGAAAATGGTATCATTTTACCCATCGTTTTGCTTATTTGTCAAAAATGGCTTATAAACAAGGTTTGTGTTTTGTTTTGCTCATTTATTAATATGTATAAGATGTCTTAGATCACATATTTTTCCCATTATAGTTAGAAATCTCGAATAGATCACATTTTAGCACATAATCATCACATAAATACAAGAAATCACACATATCATACAAATACACATAGATCTACACATTTCACTTGTATTCTCCCCCATAAAAACCAAAAATAGAGGGGTATAAACTCACCTTGAGGGTTGTAGCTTCAGTTTTGAGGGGGAAATGGAAGAATATGATTATTGTTTTTGGCTTGAATGCTTTCTTGGAAGAAGTATTGAAGCTTTGATGGTCCTAAAAGGCATGATCACGAAATGAAGCCACATGAAAGAGTGTTCTTAGCCTAAAGATAGAGATCAAAACTTATGTATGATAACAACTTACCAAGGATGGTGATACAAGTGAAAGATCTTCTTGAAGCACTACAAGTTCTCGAGACTCTTGAAGAAAATGAGAAGATGTTTTTTCATGAGTAGAGAGAGTTTGAAGAGAAATTTTTGAAGAGGGTGGTGTGGTTGTGAGGTCTCGGCCGAGAAAATAAAGAAGAGAGGGGAGAGAAGGATGAGGTGACTTGCATGGAGACATGAGATCCTTGCTTTGTTACATGTTGAACAATAGCTTAGTTAACCATTAAACAATATTGAGGTGGCATGTTTTAATTTTCCATCTTCCCCCCCCCCCTTTTTTTTCCTTTTTTTTACACATGGGCCGATATTTGGGCCTAAGAAGCAAGAAATGAACTAGTTTGGGTTCATTCTTGGTCTTGCTCGAAAACATAAATTTCATAAGTAAGTTTTCAGCCCATTAAGCCCATAGGATGGTTCACGGCCCAAATTGTACCAAAAGAATGGATTTATGGTCCTTTAGGGTTAATTTAAATCAATTATAGCCCAAATAAGGCCCATTAGGGTACACCATTTCATTTTAGGACCATGATGGCCCAAAAGGTTAGGTTTTATGAATGTGGATCCAATTAGGGCCCAATTAGGGTTTCTAGGCCCAAAGTAGTCAAATAGAAGGTTTATTGGTCCATTAGGTCCAATAAAAAATTGCTAGTCCTTAATGAATTTGAACCGGGATTTCTAGGGTTTCCAACCCCTTATTGACTATAAGAAATATATTGAGTGAGCATAGAATATGATATTCATTTAGAGTACAAGCCTTACAATGGATGATGTTTACTTGAGAATAGAATTTCCTAGCTAAAAATGCTAGTTATGACATTTATGTAAAAAATCTGCATTAATTTACTGTGAATATATTTATTTTTTATGTTGTATAAATATGTAAGAATGTCTTAGTTTTTATAGTTATTTTGCATTAACTTCAAAATAGATGCATTCATGAATGTAGTATTTAACTTGTCATTGCCTGATTTTATACAGATGTCATTTGGAAGAAAGAATTGTTGCAATGTTGGCATAGGTGGTTGGAGGCGGCGTGTAATAGTGGTAAAGTTTAGGTTTGACTTTTCTGAATTTCAGAATCAGTGTAAAATAAGTTCTATTAAGTTGTGAATTTTGTGTATTAAACTATAAATAGACTGTATAAAATTGTATTTTATATAAGTTTTGTGTTAAAATATGAATGAATGCATACATGAAAATATTAGACCAAAAAAATTACGATTTTGCCATTTTCTTACCAAAAAGACAAAAATCGGGATTTTTAACTTACTTGATAATATTCACAATATATATTCACTTATTAAATGAGAGTTCTTAAGGTTCTTAATCTTTTGTGGTTCTCATTTGAACCACTCTATATATATATTATATATATATATATATATATATATATATTATATATATATATATATATATATATATATATATATATATATATATACATACATACATACATACATCTGTGTGTGTAGTCTTGGATTTTATCTCCAAAGGTGGCATTAAGCTTGTGGGTATCATACCATATTTACCATACTTTTTAAATGTCATGTCATTTTTTACTATACCCCACAAAACTAGGGTATACCTCACAAAACTAGTGGATGTTATACCATATCTTACCACACCCACAACAGTACATATTTTTATGCATGAAATAGTACATATGAAGGAGAGTGTTTGTTCCCCGCATGGTAAAGTTGTACAAAAAGATATGCATACCACACTTTTAATTTGAGGGTCGGTGCGGTGTGTACCGCATATTGCACTATACCACGGTATGCGGTACAAGACACGCCATATGACCTTAAAAGAGATTTTACTTCAATGCATAGAGGAAGATGAGATCGTAATCCATCAATAATATGGGATATTAACATATACACATATAAATACTCTAATCACATTTATCATCACTTGATAGTGGCAACAACACACATTTCACGGACCAAATTAAAAATAAATGTTTTTAGAAGCAAATGGGGCATTTGATAAGCCCATTTTTGTTACATTCCGTACACCTCGTTCTGCCCCCTTCAACAGATTTCAAAATATTGCTACCATTACACTTACGGCAGACAACAGACCGAACTCCAGCACACCTTTTGCATGGCCCTTCCGATATGTTTAGTATATCACGAACGAGTGGCTGGAATTTTCCTTGTTCGTGCAACAGAAAAATATCATCTGCTCCGCCAATGTACCTACTCTTTATAAACAGCCGAGGTAATGCTGATAATTTTCCCAAATTCTGCAATTCATCTCTGAAATCCGAGTACATCGCTATATCTCTTTCTTGGTATAAAACCTTTAGACTTTTGAGTAACGAGTGAACCCTCGAGCAATCTTTTGATGTCTTTCGGATGCCTTTGACGCTTGTTGTGTACAAAATTACCAAATCGCTTCCTCCTGGAGGACAGATTTCCTCGAAATCCAAAAGGTGATTTGCTTTTGCTTCAAAGACCTCCTGCTCAAAAAGTGGGTAAAAGATAATTAACCACGTTTTGTAATAGACTTAAGATTAAATTATGGGTGTTATTGAAGAAGCAAACAATGGTGTAATTTTTTTTTTTTGGAACTTCAAATTTGGTCTACTCATAAATTAGTCCTAATACTAATAGTTGAACTTTCAACCTCTAAAAAGGAATGACAATACGAGATACCACATGAGCTACAAGTTTTTTGGTAAAATAGCAGTGTAATTGTTATTTTATAGGGAGTTCTTAGTACAAAAACCATGCAAAATATTCCAATAAGAAACTATTATGTGTAATAATATATTTGTTCATATATATATATTTTTTCATATATACTACACCACAATGAGGAATTTAAACTTTTACTCTAAATTAAGACTTTTATATCATAAACCAGTCAAGTGTTTACCGTATAAATATATTCTTTCTGTTTCTTATCTTATGTTCGTAGGTATATCAATCTAAATTCGTGTTCCAACTATTTCTTCAAATTATAATAAAAAATAGGTTAAGATGATTATAGAAAAATAACTGACTAGAAAGAAAAAAAATAAAAAAGAAACAACGTACTTGATATTCAAGTGCAGTTTTGAGCGTCTTCATGACCAAATTCGTTGAGGGGCGTCGTGACTTATCACTTTCCAAACATTTGTATGCAAGTTCTACGAATGTATCAAAACAATTTTGGTCAATCTGTCGCCTTAGATTATCATCCACAACACTATCTATTTTCTGCTCTTGATAGTTCTTCCTTATTAATACTGGTAGCGATCGATGCTCGTCATTATAACTATTATCAACACAAGGCCTTGAGCACAAAGCTTCGAATAGTACCACACCAAACGAGTAGATATCCGTTTCTTTTGTCAATTGCGTATTTTTATATATGGGATCAAAGTAGCCAAGAGTGGCATTTTTGTCATCAGAGAAAAGGTGCTTGTGTTCTTCATTGGCATTTCCATATCTGGATAAGCCAAAATTTGTAATATAGGCGTTCCAATTTTGGTCCAACAAGATGTTGGAACTTCTAATATGACCATGCACAACACTTTTCTAGGTAACCTTATCATCATGAAGATACTCCAAGCCACATGCAGCTCCAAGACATGCCTTGAGACGTTGGATCCATGTGAATTTGGGGTCAAGTAGGAGAAAATCAAGACGTTGATGAATTGCAAAGTCATATACAATGATTCTTTCCTCACTCTCGTCACAAAATCCTTTAAGAGAGAGGACAATTTTATGTTTATAACTTGACAACAACATGATCTCTCTCCAAAACAAAAGATCCATATCGTCCTTTGTACAATCCAAGCGCTTTACAGTGCAGATGACTTGTCCCTTATTAAAGAGTTTAAATTCTCCTCTATATACCTTCCCTGCGGATCCACCTTCCGCAATGAAGTGGTCTTCACCAAAGTTGTTGGTGGCAAGTTTTATGATATCAAGTCCAATTCTGAGATCTTCAAACTCTTTCGCTAAGGATGTTGAAATCACACAAGATATTTTTCCCAACATCGTCATTTCTTATATCAATTTAGGACAAAGAAACAGAAGGTTTTCATGTACTTACAACTGAAACCTCACTACAAAACCCTAATCTACTCTCACTCAATCACACTCAACCCTAATCTAAACAGATCATACGATAAGGAACATTCGATCATTGATCTATCAACAAACGATTGAGAGATTACAATAACTTGTTAACATACACAAGAACAGAGAGAAGTAGATGTACGAACAAAGAAAGTACGACAAAGAAAACTAGAGAATACCCTAACTCTCTCTCAAGCTGAAGAAGATGATCTGCTAAATATCTCCACTCTCTCTCTTCTTTTATATCTCAGTAACACGAATGGATCAACCCGAATATATTTGACCCATATCAGAAGATCCGCGCATTGTTCCTGCATTTACAGTCTAAACCAACAACAAATACTTCAAGCACAAAAAACCCCTTTAAGAATACAAATAAATATAAGATTGAATTATTTCATTATTTTCAACATTCCCCCTCAATCGAAATATTTATTTGTTTTTCTTAAAAACATCAATGAGACCCATTTTTTTAGATAAAAAATCATGTTGTTTGATATTCAAAGATTTTGTAAGAATATCTGCATTCTGTTCAGAAGAAAGAATTTTAACCAGTTTTATAACTCCATTTGAAATTTTTTCTCTAACAAAATGCAAATCAATTTCAAAATGTTTAGTTCTTTCATGAAACACTAGATTAAGAGCTAACTTAATTGTTGAATCATTATCACAAAATACAGAAACTGGAATAAAATTCTTAACTCCTAATTCAAAAAAGATTTTCAAAATCCAAATTATTTCACAAGTAATAGACCCAAGAGCTCTATATTCAGCTTCAGTTGAAGATCTAGAAACAGTAGACTGTTTCTTACTCTTCCATGAAATCAAACAGTTATTAAAATATACCAAGTAACATGTTACAGATTTTCTTGTAGTTAAACATTTTACCCAGTCTACATCAACAAATCCACTCAATACAAAATTATCAGATTTAGTTATTGCAACTCCTTTTCCAGGACTTTCTTTTAAATATCTTAACAATCTTAAGGCTACTTTCAAATGAGATTTTCTAGGTTTGTGCATAAATTGACTTAGCACTTGAACCCCATAAGCAATATCTGGCCTAGTAACAGTAAGATATATAAGTTTCCCAATCAGCTTTTGAAATTCAGTTTTATTGTCCAATAACTCATTGTTTTTATCATCATTTTCTGCATTTATCATAAAATTTGTTTCTAAAGGAGTGCTAACTGGTTTACAACCAAGCAAACCATATTCATGCAAAAGCTCTAAACAATACTTTCTTTGATTTAAACATAAACCATTATCAATATTAACTAATTCAATACCTACAAAATACTTAAGAACTCCAAGATCTTTAATCAAAAATTGAGTTTTCATAAATTCTTTAACCTTTTTCAATTCAGTTTCACAGCTACCAGTTAATATAATATCATCAACATATACAAGTAACACGGTTATTGAATTTTCAAACCTTCTAATAAAAAGTGAATAATCACTTATGCTCTGTTGAAAGCCAAACATAAACAAAGAAGCACACAGTTTTTCATTCAATTTTCTAGGAGCTTGCTTTAAACCATATAATGATTTTGTAAGCTTGCAAACCCTAGAATCATTTTCAGAATAATATCCAGGGGGAAGAGACATATACACATCCTCAGATAGATCACCATAAAGAAAAGCATTATTTATATCTAACTGATATAAAGGCCAAGAATAATGCACAGATAAGGAAGTAACAATACGAATAGTCACAATTTTTGCAACAGGATAAAAGGTTTCTTCAAAATCAATCCCTTCTCTTTGATTATACCCCTTAGCCACTAACCGGGCTTTATATCTTTCAACTTCACCATTTGACTTATATTTAATTTTAAAAACCCACTTGCAACCAATTGGTTTCCTATTTTTAGGTAAATTTGTTATTTCCCAAGTGTGATTACGATGAAGAGCTTCCATCTCTTCATTCATGGCCTTTACCCAATTAGGATCCGATAAAGCTTCGTAGTAATTTTTAGGCTTAACAGTCTTATTTAGATTTGAAACAAAACACTTAGGAACAGTTAAACTAGCAAAATTACCTAAGGGAACATGATCAAGGTAATAAAGACCCCCTGATTCCCTACCATTCTCCACCATCTCCTTTGACAGTGAATCCTGAATTTTACAATTATGTTCAGAAAATACAACTTCACAACCACTATCCTTACAAAGCTTGTGTACAGACAAGAGATTAACATTAAAGTCTGGAACAGCAAATACATCAAATAAAGTAAGATGAGAAGATAATTGAATGTTCCCTATTTTATTAATAGGAGCAGAAGATCTATTAGGATGTTTAACAAGAAGATTGAGCCTCGACACATCCACTGTGTCTTGAAGTTGTGACTCAGAGGCTATCATATGTTGATTTGCCCCTAAGTCAACAATCCAACTTTGAGAATTATTTTCATTTTTCTGTTTAAAATCCTTTGGATAACCAATCAGTTTATAACATCTATCTATCGTATGACCTTTAAGATTACAATGTTTACATTGTAATCCTTGATTTCTGATCCTGTTTTGACCTTGTCCCTTCTTAAAATCATTAACTTTACTATTAAACACTGACACCTGTGACTTTGAAGGGATAATTGAATTTAAAGACCCATTCCTTTGAAGAGATTCTTCTCTAGAAAGAATAGAAAAGGCAGGTTTAACATTTGGTAATGGATCCATCAAATGAATATGACTTTTTACTTGATTATATGAATCATCAAGACCATTCAGAAACTGCATTAGTTTCATCAATTTAGAATGATCATTAAGCTTAGTAGCAGCCTCACATACACATTCAGTTAAACTAGTTAAACCATCAAACCTCTTCCATAAAGAGTCAAGTTTATTATAATAATCGGAAAGAGACGAACCATTCTGTTTTAAAGTATTAATTTGTTGATGGATATTGAAGACTACAGATCCATCAGCCTTATTATAAGTTTCAAATAATCCGTCCCAAATATCCTTAGCTTTATCAGAGTAAACATGACTAGCATAAATGGATTCAGAAATAGACCCTAATATCCAATTGCATACAACAGCATTAACACGCTCCCATTTAGAAGTTTTAGAGACATCAGTTTTTTCAAGAGTTAAAGTTCCATCCACAAAACCCAACTTATTCCTAGCCTTCAGACCTCTAGACATGGCACTACGCCATAACCAATAATTTTCATTTCCAGTCAATTTAATGGTTATAATTGAGGCTACAGCATAATCAGAAGGATGAACATATAAAGGGTCATCAAAATCAGGAGTAGTACCATCTTTAGGAGTACCACTCCCTTCAGGAGTGTCTCCTGCCATTGTAAATCATAGAAATCATACAGAACAAATAGCATACGTTGTGTTGACTTAAAGTCCAGATGGTCACCACAGTATATCGGGGCCCAAGACAATCAAACACAGAGTCAAAAACAGCCAAGAACAACACAGTATACACGAAAACAAAGAAGAAGGTAGAAGAAAACACCCTCATAGTGCTATAGGAAGCGATGTTGTTTTTTTTTTTTTTTAAATCGACTCCCTGAATCCGTTCCCTACAAGGGTTTATCGGTGATGAAATCCGACCCCAAGAGGATTATTTCAGATAAAGGGATTAATCGATGGCTTTCAGAGTGAATTCCTTTTTGTCCAAACTTGTAATCGCAGCGACAAGTAGATGAGAAGAAGCGCCAATCTGCAAGATCAATCAAACATCTCGCAGTACCAGGATCCAAAAAACAAACTAGGGTAAATAGAAAACGAAACCCTAGATCTAACAGATTCAACTAAAAAATAAAAGAATCGGTATACCTTTTTAGATCGTTGAGAACCAAGATCACCAAACAACGATCAACAACAACCGAAGCGTCAGGATCAAAGAACAAGAGCCTTAAAGCTCTGATACCATGTTGAAATCATACAAGATATTTTTCTCAACATCTTCATTTCTTATATCAATTTAGGATAAAGAAACAGAAGGTTTTCATGTACTTACAACTGAAACCTCACTACAAAACCCTAATCTACTCTCACTCAATCACACTCAACCCTAATCTAAATAGATCATACGATAAGAAACATCTGATCATTAATCTATCAACAAACAATTGAGAGATTACAATAACTTGTTAACATACACAAGAACAGAGAGAAGTAGATGTACGAACAAAGAAAGTACGAACAAAGAAAACTAGAGAATACCCTAACTCTCTCTCAAGCTGAATAAGATGATCTGCTAAATATCTCCACTCTCTCTCTCTTCTTTTATATCTCAGTAACACGAATGGATCAACCCAAATATATTTGACCCATATCAGAAAATCCGCGCATTGTTCCTGCATTTACAGTCTAAACCAACAACAAATACTTCAAGCACAAAAAACCCCTTTAAGAATACAAATAAATATAAGATTGAATTATATCATTATTTTCAACAAAGGACGACTTCGAGTCTGCAACCGACTACAATTTGGAAAAAAAAAAGTTAATATTTCCTAGTAATGATGATATGAGCTTGAAGGAGTCAAAAAAAACTATTGATGTATTCTTTAGTCAAAACAATAATGCTTTATTTAACATAAACGATAATGTTTGAGCATTTATGGGGTGTCACTACAAGATTTTTAAGTAGGGGCGACAAATGTTGAACCTATTAGTTATGAAAGCGGTCACAATTGTCTTTACTGACAACATGTCGTCGCTATGATTTGTCTTAAAGTCCCCATCCCCAATATAGTTTCTATTGGGGGAAAATGACTTACGAGTCCAACGAAGTTTTTAAACTATTCAAAAAACCCCAATCATGTTTTGTCTGTTTAAAAAAACCCAACGAATTTAACATTTTATCTAAAAAACCTAATTAAGTTACACTTTCCTCAAAGTCAACTAAGAGAAACAGATGACGTGACTTATTACCGTATCGGAAAAATGATTTGTTAAACCAACGAAGTTTCCAAAATGTTTAAAAAACTCAATCATATTTTGATTGTTCAAAAAAAAAAATCAACAAACTTAAACAAAACAAAATTGGGATTTTTTGAACGGTTTGGAACTTTGTTTGATGTTTTAGATAAAATGTTAAATTCGTTAGATTATTTTTAAAAGGCAAAACATGATTAAGGTTTTTTGAATTGTTTGAAAACTTGGTTGGGCTTTTAGGTCATTTTCCGTTTCTATTGGTGTCCCTTCTATTTATGACACCATTATGGCTTGTTTTTTTTAATACTTCAAATACTATTTTCCTAGAATCCAGAAAATACGAAAAATACAACAAAAATACGAAAAAAATAACAACAGCATAAAATTTTTGATATATATATATATATATATATATATATATATATATATATATATATATATATATATATATATATAATCAATATCAAATAAGAAGGAAATTTTTGGTAGGAAGGTAAGAAATTTTTTATATACATATTTTCTTAGCAAAAAAATGAAACGAATCATTAGATGATTCACAAGAAAAAAATCCTAAAAAAACACTTTCATGATTCATTTTCAGGTGAATCAAGAAAAAAATTCACTTTTATGACAATTTTAGTGAATATCATCAATATCATCATAAAAATGAATCATTGAAATGTTTTTTCAAGATTTTTTTTGGTGAATCATGTTATTATTGATTAATTTGGTGATTCATTTGTTTTTTTCGCCAAAAAAATAAGTCGAAAATTTTTTTTTTACCTTCCTACCAAAAAACATTTCCTACCGGATATATATATATATATATATATATATATATATATATATATATATATATATATATATATATATATATATATATATATATATATATATATATATATATATCAAATTAAGACTATCAAGTATCAAGGGACAAACTAGAATATACTTGTTTTATTTCTCCTATTAATGTTTTTGAATTTATAATGAAAAATAAAATAAAACGATTATATATTAATTAATTTAAAGGGGAAAGGCATCGCACTTGATATTCAAGGCTAGTTTCAAGTTCTCTTACAATCTTCTTCATGATTGGACGTGTATCGTATTCTCCATTCAAACACTGATAGGCAATTGTTGAAAAGCACTTAAGAGAACTGGGATGAATTTCATCTTTCGTGTGAGACCAAACCATTTCATTTAGCCTGTTCCGTCTGTGATATCTTCGTACCATATTAGTAAAAGATTTAGACCTATAGTAATACACAACCTCCCACACAAAACTTCAAACAAAACTACACCAAAGGAGTAGACGTCCGACTGCTTTGTTAGTATCCCACTCTCCATATACTACGGATCTGTATACCCAAGCGTCCCTACAACACTGATGTTATGGATGATATAAAATGAGATTTGCTGGTTGGCTGGACCCATTTTGGATAGACCGAAATCCGCGATCTTTGCGTTCCAGTTTTCATCTAATAAAATGTTGGAACTTTTAATATCGCGATGCAATAGTCTTTGATGCCCCCCAGCGGGATCATGAAGGTATGCTAGACCGCGGGCAGACCCGATGCATATTTGAAGGCGTTTGACCCACGTTAACTCCTTGCTGCGGAGATGTCTGTCGAGACTTTGCTTTGATGCATATTCGTAGATTAGGATCTTCTCTTCTTCCTCATCACAATACCCTAAGAGGGATATTATATTTTCATGTTTGTAAGCTGAAAGCATAATGATCTCCTTGAAAAACTCAGGGTCTCCTTGGCCAAACTCACGATTTAAACGTTTTACAGCCACTGTGATCATCGTCTTCTCTTTGGAAAGGAGTTCTCCCTTGAACACCGGTCCAAATCCTCCTCCGCCGATCTGATTATCTTTTGCAAATGTGTTGGTTGTTGATTTTATAGAATCCAATTGCATTCTAAGGTTTTCGAACCCTTTTAGAAGCGGCATCTTTTTGATGATAGATCAAATTAGGAAACAAGAGTAAAACCTTTGAAGAATAATAGTTGATGTGCTTGAAGATATTGCGTCTGCTGCTGCAGACAAATGACAAGTCAACTCTCTCCTTACCTAATTGATTGTTTATTTCTAATTAAAATAATGAATTGACAGCTTGCATGCACTTAGTAAAACTTAAGATCTTAATCGACCTCTCTTTCCTTATATAACTGATGATTTATTTAATAATGACAATAACTGATGCCTTTATTTAATAATGACAAGTTGCCGTTATATTAGAACTAGCACGTGCCTTACGCCCTTACCAACCTTGGTTAATTATTATCAAGGTTTTTTTTTTTTAACCCGCAAATTTTATTAAGAAGAAAAAAGAAAAATCCAAACCTCTGGCATGTATCTATGCAGGAGGAGGGAAAGAGAGAGAGTTACATTTAGAGATAAATAATGCAAAAGACCTCCTATTAGAGTTCAAAATTAAACTCTAAGTTGAAAAATTAGTCCGCAAATGAATTAATGCACCATTTAGTCCAATTGAAATTGTTACTACCACCGTTACTCCCTTGTTTGAACCACATAAATACGGATGCCTTAACGATATCAGTTACCATTGCAAGAGTTGTTATCTTTTTCATGAAAATTCTATCATTTCGTGCTTTCCATAAACTCCAAATGGTACCATAGTAAATTCCTAATAATATTCTTCTCTTTTTGGGATAGTTTCCATAGGTTGCAGCGAAATCAAATTCTCGATTTATATTATCATATTGGGATACCGATATACCACACCATCTGAATATCCACTCCCATGTGACATTTGCAAATGGACAAGTCTATAATAGATGGTTAGTTGACTCATCATCCATGTTGCAAACACTACAAGTCATCGAAAAGGAATTCACTCCCCTTTGTTGAAGTGTCATCGCAGAAGGAATGCGATTTTGTCTGGCTCTCCAAACAAAACATACTATCTTTATAGGGATTTCAGTTATCCAGGCAAAGGAATGCGATGTTGGATCAAGATTTGATGAACTCAACAACCTACTACATGCTTCAACCGTGAATAAGCCGTTCGAATCGAGACCACATATCCATTCATCTTTGTTTATGTTTAGACTAAACGTATCTGAAACAATTATTATCAAATGCTTTAAGATTATCAAATTGTGTTGCAGTTATGTAGGGGGTCCTACCGACCCTAGATTTTCTCACCCCTCTAATTATGACTTTTTACTTTGGAAATTAAATTGTTTACATTTTTAAGCTCATTATTTTTCAACGGTGTTGTTATTGGCGGGGGATTTTAAATACACTCAGAAAAAAAAGTCAAAACCATTTATTGAAAGCTATTAATGGTAAGCTATTTTAATGTTTTTTTTGTTAAGAGTAAGTTAAAGAAATGGTCCTTGTATTTTGGTTTTATTTTCAGTTTTGTTTCTTAATTTAAAAACTAATAGGTTGTATCCTGAATATTACAATTTTAGTCCTTGTTTCAAATAAAAACACTAATTTATTCTTCTTTTTTCTTTTTTATTTTCTTTTAACAGTTTATTATTATTATTATTATTATTATTATTATTATTATTATATAACAATTTTATTTGTTATTTATTTTAATAGAGTTTGTATAGATTTCATATAATTTTTTATTTTTTTAAATTATATATATATACCCTTAAGGGTATATAAGCTTACGTACCCAAACACACAATAATATGTCGTTTTGTTTGATATATTTATTATAATGTTCTTAAACTTCAACTCTTAGCTTGAGTTAATTTCAAAATTTTCGAAATTTTACTATTATCTTTCTCTTACATCACATGTTTTTGCCGAGCACCTACTAGGCTATATATATTGTAGTTGAAAATGAAATCCATGTAAGAGGAAGATAAATGTGCAATTTATAAAAAATCATGGAACTAATTAAATTAGAAGTTAAATTATAAGAACATTCGACAATTAGAATGTATTATATGATATAAAACGACATAGTATAGTGAGTTTGGGTACGTAACTTTATATACCCTTAAGGGTATATATATATATATATATATATATATATATATATATATATATATATATATATATATATATATATATCAAAATTACAAAAATTATCATTATGGTTTGCCAAAAATCACAAAGTCAGTCCCTAATAATTTTTTTTTACGAATATGGTATCTATGGTTTCCAAAACTTACATTAATGACCATTTTTGCTAATGTCGTATTATACATAATTTGATTTTTATTAATAATTTTCATTTATTAACCTAAAAAAATTATTGTTACGTGTTTATTTTAATATATTTGTCGGTATAATTCAAGGTGGTTAACCTTTTTTTTTGTTTTTTTTTAATTAGATGGTTTTTTTATAAACTTTTCGGTTTAAATTCGAGTTTTTTTACGTTTCAAACAATAAAAAATAATGATTACAATTAAACGAACAATAAAAAATATAATATGATATTTTTTCAGAACTATAACAAATAAAATTATCATTTTCATTTACTACTGTTTCGTCAAACAATGTCATATTTTAATTTTATTAATTATCAGGGACATTAACTACATGAATATTACAATTATTACGTGGTGCATTCGGTGAAATATATGCATTAAGTCGAGCATTATACAGTATTTCCCATCCAGCGGCACGTTCTGATCTGTGATGATGCCAAAGTGACAAAACTGTAGGCATTTAATGGAATTCTTGTAAATCAACTTTTACGTAATGGCCAATTATAAATGAAGGCGATAACAATAGATATATGATTTAAATATCTTGCGGACCATGCCAAAGTGGAAAACAGGTCGACGAACCTTGTTTGTCTAAAAAATAGACAATTACACCATACTTATTAGCGATGAGAAATCCAATATCCGGCATAATCAACCAATATTCACTTTGTGTAGAACCAAATCCAGTGAAACTTAACGAGTGTTGTACGTTGTTTATATCATCCTGACAAATCATCGAATATCGTCCTAAATCCTAAAAAATAGACAATTATACCATACTTATTATTTTAATTTGATCGTAGTGGTATTCATTGTCACACCCCCAAACCAAGGATGGCGGAAACGTCCGGGGGTGGAGGACTTCATGTAGAGTATCACAACAATGAGTATAATAGTGCTCAAAGTAAATACAACCAACACAAATATAAATGAAAACGTTACATCAAAGCACATGTTTACATGATTCACATCAATTACATTATGATACAAAATGAACTGTTTGACGATTTATCGTCCCATCCTCAAAACGTTGTTGATTTCCTGTTCTCACTGAATTCCTGAGAATACAAGTAGTTTTGAAAAGTGTCAACACAAAGGTTGGTGAGTTCATAAGAGATTTCGTTAGAAAAGTAAATCGTTTTCCTTGTAAAAGCGTTAGAATATGTATCCAGAAAATCCGATATTTTCTCTAAAATTTGTGTAATGTAGTCTTATGACTGAAGTCCAAAATGTATAAGTAACCTTTCTTATTAATAGAAAATGTTATGTGCTTAAATGGACATGGACGCGTTTGAATTAAATGAAATTTCTGTATGCTCTCATGTTTGTTAATACTTTATATATATGTAGTCCTAAATTAGAGGACCGAATAATAACAAGTATTGACCATACTTAAAGGTATAAATGTGGTTTCAAATGATGTGTAGTCGTAACTACCAAAACCAAAAGTGTACAGTAATATCTGTACTCATAGAGATAAAAAGTGATTTTAAATCGACATAAAACTCATTTAGGTTTTATAAATAAAATCCCGTAAACTTATGGATTGTTATATCCCTATGTGAGTCGCTATAATCATACTATGACTATGTGAACCTGCCACGACATTCTCAGGCGTCGCGAAAACTGAAATGACATTTGTCACCCGTAGACCTGCAGGTCCCACTGTAGCTAGCAGCAAGGTGTGGGGTGTCAAACCCAATATAGATCTATATACAAGTATCACGTTCTCCCTCAAGGAGATTCTGATTATAACTACCAAGAATTATATCCCGCACTCGGACGTACGGGGAGAGAGAGAGAGTCTCACAATATAGGTTAACAAGTTTACGTAAAATGTGTGTGAATATAAATCTTTCTTGTATTAATGTACCCTTTTTGTACGAGTGTGTGGAGTGATGTATCATAAACTATACCTATTATAGTTTATCTAAAATGTATGTAATATGTATGAACTCTTTTATGAAAATGTATTAGTGTTATGAATTTATCAAACTATACTTTTTATAGTTTAATATACGTGTTCTAAAATGAATGAATAATATTTATTATGAATGACTTATTTTCAGTTCATGATGATAAACTAACAAAGAAACACATTCAATAATTAGAACTATGATTATACACTTTGCTCAACATAATACAAAGTGTTATGATATTTACATGTTGTTAGCTAACTTTAGCCATTCTGCCCTGTTTTGGAAAAATCATAGAAAAATCATACGAAGTCGAAAACTAGATCCGTAAATTCTGAGAGTTCACAAAATGTGTCTAGTTTACTCATAATTTTATCACGATTTTTAACGACCTCCAACTTGGCTGAATAAGTCCAAAATCACATACTGGTCCGGATTGTTGTTTGAAATGATAGGCAGTTTTGTAAAAATCACCATAAATTGTAGAAAAATCGTATGGAGATGTGCAAGTAGCCATTTTAAAGCTAAGAACTTGAACTATTTGCACCTTGTACAGTTTTAAAAACAAAAATGTTTAAGATTCCCAAAACAGTCCGTGAATGGAGTTGAAATTTTCAGATGAAGGCTGTTAGAAAATTTTAGTTATGTTCTTGGTGTTTTAACTTGTATTCCCCCCCTGAAAACTTGAGAAAACATGAAAATGTAGGGGTATGAACTCACCTTGAGTGATTTCAGTAGATAAGTGTTGAAGAAGAGAAGTGTTCAACCCAAGAACACTTGAAGATTCGAAGCTCTAACGCAAATATGATGGAGTTTGTGTAAGATATCCATGATT